AGTCTTTGCAAATAGGGAAGGGTGGAGGGGGTGAAGGGAGGGCAGGGGAAGGGGAAAAAATATAAGAACCAAGATACTCATGTAATGGTACAAGATCCCAGTGATGTATGTAACTGTATTTTATACCTAAAATGTACCAATAAACTTAATGGGGGGAGAGGTTATTATAAAGGTAATTTTTTAATGGGTATGCTTTTCTAGTAGGATTTTAGTTTGAATTATTATGAGAAATCTGTATTCAGCTATTTCATGATTCATTATTTTTTATAGTATGATTATGGGTTTGCCGTTTGTGATTTATGTGAAGCTACAGTAACATTAAACTGCCTTTTGGTCAATAAAAGTACAAATGATTGATTTTAACAAGTAGGCTACATTTTTAATAAACACAGATTTAGCTATCTTTGAATAGAATACCGTTTGATTTTTTGAAATTGGAACGTAGGCACTGAAATCTTGATCATAAATTGGAAAGATAATTAAAAGTTAATAGCCAAGTTTATACCTTTATTTCCAAGCATTGCTTCTGATTTATTAACGTCTAAAATCTGGTATTTTTTGTAGTCAGTTTGAAAGTTACTGTTGGAAAAAAAAAGATTTAGTTAAACCTCCATTACTTTATCTTTGACCCATAATTTGTAAATTAGTAATTGTGAACAAGCTCAGTTATTAGTATAATTGATCAGCAGACACGTAAAATCTTTGGGACACATCAAATCATAGCCGTACTATAGTAGTTGGTAATCATTTCGTGTTCCACTGTTGTAACCACTCTTGGGGAAATTCTCATGTAGTGAAAGAGTAGTTCCTTGAAATTGTGCATATTTTGGAATTGTGACTCTATGACTTACTTTCTTGAGCAGTTACTTGAATCATAAAGTTACGATAAGAATATGTAAAGGGTTGATGTATGTGTTAAATTACTAAGTTTCTAAAGTGCTTGATTCAGTAATGTTCAAGATATATTAATATACCTTGGTACTCAACTCTTTGAAACTTACTTGATTTGGTCCTCAAGCATTTTGACATGAAAATTTTGTCCCCATATTGATCTGATGATTGCCTTATGACTTGCTACCCTTATTAGCCAAAACAGTTTGTTTTGATATTTGGTACTTGTCACATCTTTGAGCATCAAGTAATGATGAGTGCCCAGATACCATCCTTCAGCTCTTCATCTCTGCAAGTAGTTACTGTGATTTTATTGTCATTGTTGAGCAGCTTACCCCTGTGGCTGGCCTCTTCAAAACCAAAGTTGTCACTACTTATCCATTTATTAGAAATTCAGCAGTGTGGTCTTTGTTGATAATTATACTTATTTTCCTAATTTGGTTAAAAATGAAAAGATAGCTTCAGTGGCTGTCATGTTACAGTAATAGTTTAAACCTGAAGATTATCTTTGTGGTAAAAAAAACTACCAGATATGGTGTTGTGGCATTACGACTCTGAGGTTAATTGTTAGAAGCCTTACATAAGGAAAACTGGTCAAAAGTCATACTGTTATTGGGTAGCTTTTTTTTTTTTAGAAATGGTTTACCAATGAAACATATTCTAGGTTCTTTTCACCTCGAACAGAGTTGAATGAGACAAGCCAAAAACAGTGCCAAAAGTTGATTTGAAAAGTGAAGGTTGAGGAGTAAGGGAGAAACTCACCCTGCAGAGCAAACTTGGGGCAAACAAAAGACAGAAAGAGCAGAAATAAAAGTACATCCTGGTCTAGAAGACACAGAGTAGGCTACTGTGAAGAGTCATAATAATGGGCTCTTCCTGGTGTCTGTGTCTTCCATGTTCCACATCTGCGAATTCTACATATGGGGTCCTGGGAATTATTTGGCACTGTCCTGGGATCTTATAATTAACAGGTCCCACTTATTTTCCCAGCCAGCTGTGCCATGGTCTACCTCCTATCTCAGTTCTTTAGGAAAGTACCTGTTGTAGTTATTGTGTTTTCTCAGGTTAGATTTTAATGAAGATAAAGTTCAATCCTAATCAAATACAGCTGTTAGAAGAAGATATTTAAATCAGATGAAGATGGTTAAACTTGGGCAAGGTTTTTCAGGTTGTAAAATATTTGGGGCATTGTGTTAGTAAGTTTTCTGTTGGCTATGACAAAATATCTGAGACAACAACTTAAAAGAAGGAAATACTTATTTTAGTTCACAGTTTGACAAGTTTTAGTGCATGGTTGCTTGGGCCCGTGACAAGGCTGAACATCATGATTGGTATAAGTATAATCGGCTCATACTGTGATGGCCAGAAAGTGAGAAGAGAGAGGAAAGAGCTGAGATCCCAATATTTCCTTCAAGGGCACTGTCCTCCATGACCTAACTTCCTTTCTCAAGGTCCCACCTCCTAAAATTTCCAGCACCTCCCAGTGGAACCATCAGCTGGCAGTTAAGGCCATGTGAACTTGAGAGAAACGTTTAAGATCCAAACCATAGCCGCATTATAATTTAAGCTGTCCATTTTGAAGTTTTAAAGTTTTTACTTTAAATCCTAGAAACCTACGTGGATTGGCTTTCTTGACTTTAAAATGGCAGAACTGTTTTCAAGAAGAAAAATTTCCCTATTACTACCTACTTGAGGTATAAATGATCAGGAAACTTCAATAAAATGGATTCTTAAACCTGAGCAAAATGGATTCTTAAACCCAAGTAAAACTGCTTATACTGTATTAACTTTCAGAGAAAATTAATTAGATATTAACTGGGAAAATGCAGTATTTATTGCATTACTAAATTAGAAGTGACTATAACATACATTTTTGAGATTTGAGAAATATGCTTAATGAAACCAAGAAATTCAAGACTAAAATTTTTAAGATTTCCCATGAACTTGCCACTGTCTTGATTTTTTCCTTGAAGTTCTGAAACTAAGATGTTTTATTTGATAGTATTAATATAATCTTTATGAAAGATGATGTGTAACTTTAGTAGGTTTTTTATTTTTCTTTTAAAATTTTGTTATTGTAGTTTTTATTAAAATTGACTTTAAAAGTATTTTTTATTCTGGAGATGCACAAAGGTTACCCATGAAAACCTGCTCTAGCTGCAGTTTTTACAGCTGTCAGTAGATGGCATTGTAAGTTCATGAAAAATAATTTTCTTAAATTGAGCAATTTGAGTTTCTAAGACTGCAAAAACTTTTTAAAGTGAATGGGATTAATATGAGAAAATGGAAAAATAGGAACAAAATCTTTGTAAATAGGGAGGACTGGAGGGGTTGAAGGGAGGGCTGGGAAAGG